GACAAAGGTGTCGTCTAACCTAAAGGAGAGTTTAAAAGTACCTGAAAATAAAGGATGTAACTTACGGAAGTCATATGATAACTCTTGGTTTCCTCGACCGCGAAATTTGTTTTTATTCAATAATTAAATGGCCGATAATGTTGACAGCATAAACACTGCCAAGGGCCGTAGGAAAAGTCCAATCAAATAATATTGTTGCTTCAATATATAATTATTTCTGTTCTACATTTTTTGGGGAAAAACTAATATTATGTTCTTTATTAACATACTTTAAAGTAATTGAGAATGATTAATTACATTGTTAAAATCAGTTTAATAGTAATTGCAATTAATTATTAAAATATTCAACGTATTTGAATTTATAGCATTGCATTTTAACGTAATTTACGCTAACCCAAATCTGTTCCAATTGAATCTTAAATTTTTTCTGCAATCGCGGATATTTGACAGTTAGAGTTCCATGAGAATATGTTATTTCAATGAATCTGTTCTCAACAGTCAGTCATTATAACGATTTCATTACTTATCTAAATGAGAGCCACAGACGCTTTTACTTTACAATTAAACCTTTTAATGGTTTTTCAGATCTCGTGACTCTACGTAATATTATCCATAAAACTTATGGTACATGTATTAAATTGTTCAAAAGATTAGTTATCAATAATTAAAAGAACAAAACATAGAAAACGAGGCAAAGTAATTATCTATGTAGAAAATAAAGAGCACATTTTTTAAAGGATTTCTTCAAGTGTATGAGACTGTAATGCCCCTTCTGGACTTGATAACAGTTAAAAGTGTGTTATCAATTTGCTGGGAGCTAAATATGAAATTATCATTACATCTTATGATGATGATTTTGGAGAAATTGCATTTGATTTAAAAAAAATGTATATAAATAGACCTTAGATATCTTGTTCGGCTGATTTTAAAGAGAGAGAGAAAAAAACACTCCCTTAGACCTTGTGCACCAATCTCTACCAATCTCTACCAAGAGTTATTGTTCCATTTATACTTGTTGCTTAGCGTCTTATTTTTCGATTTCATGATTTGATAAATAGAGTGGCTTGCATGATAATTTGCATCAAGCTTTTATCATCATTGAAATCGAAAAATCTGACAGTCATTCTTTATACCGGTAATACATGGTACATGGTAATTATTTCGTCAAAGTGCTAGAAGCCCCGCTTCTTGTCTCTATTTTTCCCGCCCTGCACGTGATTTTTTTAACCGTAGCTATCGATGAACCAGTACATTGATGGAGAAATACAGTACATAAACTATTTGTAATTTTATCTCGAACAAAGACATTGGAAATGTAAATATAACAGCTGCTATTATTGATAAATATTTACAACCAAAGCCTGTTTTGACTCCAACGAATTGTTATGTTGTTTATTCAATTCAATTCATTTTATTGCCAACACTATCATACATTGGCATATAGCCATGAATACAACAAATAACATACATAAAATAAAATATCAAAGAAAGCATATCAGGTTTGTTGATTGTTTTTTTTATCTAATATGAAAGCACTTTTTCAAAAAGTTACAAACTCTCCTAGCAGTTCTAATACTTGTAGGATTGATAATGTCAATAATAGGGTTTTCCTTCATGTAACATTGTGCATTAAATATTATACAATTATTGCTGTTTTTTAGGTCAATACGATGATTTAGACACCTGAGGAGTACAATATTCACTGAGCCCGAAGGGCGAAGTGAATATTGTACTTCGAAGGTGGCTTAATCATCGTATTGACCTAAAAACAGCAATAATTGTTTTATTATATGACTAAATGATAGCAAACTCCTACAAAACTGTTTCTTTGATTTAATTGAAAGTTTTAACAAGAAATTTCAACAAGAAGACATCGTAATAGAAAAAATGGAACAGGTCAATAATTCTTTATATTGACCTGCAATAATTCCTTGTATTGACCTGGAACGTCACGTGCAGGTCAATACAACGTAGTATTTTTCTAACATAGTTGGATTTCAGCCAATCAGAGAGAAGGAAGTTATTCAATCATATAATAAATCGTAATGTTGTTATCTACATTGATCATAATTGGGACAATAAAGTACAAAATGGTTTTCAATTACACTAAAAAATTTACAAAAATGACATACACGTTTTTCTCTAGGAATAGTTGGCCTTGAGTATCTCCCCATTTCAATATGTAGTGTATGAGCAATAATTCGTAGTTTTGTTAGGATTGTTCTTTCAGATTTCTTCAATGGTAATTCTAGATAATTTGTAATTATTATTCATTTAAATCAATTATATTACTTTTAAAAGTTAATTTCCCAGAATTCGATTTTTAAATGTGCTTTAATTGTTCACTGATTTTGTTTCTATGCTGTTCCTCTAATTTATATTATAAAGTTTTTTTTGTGATATGTCAAATGAATATTCAGACAATTTCTCTTGTAGAGTATAAAGTTTTCTTTGCCAAGATATTCTAGACCCCAGTGTTTTATCTTCCTTAAATGCAGACACCACTAATTGGTCATTATGATCATTTCTCTCTCTAAGTTTTTCAGTCCTAAATAAGATTTATACATATTTTCATAACACAAATAAAACAGTGGGGACTGTCCCAACTCATACAGAACGGCAATATTAGATAATTTTCTATGAACACCCAAAATGTCTTTAAAAATCTGTTGTATTTTTTTAATGGGAAATAATCTGAGAATAATAAATCATATTTTTAGTCTGCTATCTAAATTTCAGAACCATAAGTTAAGATTGGAGTAATCATAGATCTATGAAGTTTAAGCATTGTCTTGACAGAAAAATTTGTATTAGCTGGAACATTGGTTTTAATAGCATAATAATCTTTTACTAAAAAGATATTTTTCACGTAGTGTGATATATTTTTTTCAACCAAGATATATTTGCTTTATTAATTGTTCGATTATCATTTATCAAGGAAGAAAAATGAGCCGGAAACTCCCAGGGATTAAAAAAAGATAATCATGCCATGATTTACTTGAAGAAAAAAAACATTCAAAACAAACATTTCATCATAGTACATATGGTTTTTATGCCTGCATTGGCCGATCATCATCATTGATATTTTAAAAAAAGGTACGTAAATTAATTCATAAGTGTGAAAGATTTCAATGTTAATTCTAAGAAAATGTAATATATGCACATTTAAATTGTTTTAAAAATATTATGTGTGTATAATGATATCCATTTAAATAGATAATTATGTTTTTCGCCATTTTTCGTGACGTCGATTTTCTTTTAAGGTATTATCTGACTTAGAACAGAACCCAGTCAATCAAATAAGTGAAAAACAAAAATCCTACTCCTACAACAATTGTGCAATAATATTGTATATATACTGCATGTCTGAATTAGCCGGTCATATATAGTACTTATTGAACATAACAATAAATAATATGGATTCCAGCCCATTAAGGCTAGCATGGACTTAAATGAAATTATACGATTCATTGGAAGACTGCGATGTTAAGGTATTAAAGCTTAATGACCATCTTGAACGAAGAATCCTGTTTGTTTTTAAAGAATTTATTTTCTTTATCAAATAATATAGCCTTCACCAGCAATGAAGGACATCGCTCTTGCGCTATATAAAAATAACAACAGGGCGTTTTCCTGTTCCGAAAGAAATAAGCAATACTCTCGCTCCTCCTGCATCAAATTTAAATATAAGAACATGAAGAAAATCTGTCTCAGAGACAGGATTGGTCTTCGAAATATACATGGCCCTGACTATACCGAAATGTTTACAAAATTAGTATTCAGGAAGGAGACAAAAGTTACATAAAAAATAAATTTTAAGACCAAAAAAATATTTAAATATTTTTAACATATAATGTATTTATTGATTTGGATAACCATTTTTTCTACTTTTTAAATGAGTAAATTTTTAAAAATACGCAAACATGACGGATATTTGAAACAATCAAAAGCCGTTTACTATTTTCACTGAAGGAATGATTATTTATCATGAAGAATAAATTTGTTGATAGTACTGGGAGCAATTTTATTTGCTGAACAGATAGACGGATTAAGCTTCAAGAATAATTTGCGTCAAATAATTAAGGCATCAAACTGTAAACAAAACTAAAATTCAATGTTGAAAAGAATGAAGCATAAAATATATTACACAAAAAATACTCTAGGAGAGATTTTTTAATTTAGTATTTTGGTTAAGTAGAATTGATTTCAGCGTAGAAAACTGTATCTTTTTTTTAAGTACACGTGCCTTCAAGACTTGATCCAATTTTTTCAAGTGTTAAAACAAATTCTCCCGATTCAATATTACGTTGAAACAATACATGTAGTTCTGATACATTGTATTTTAATTTAAAATGAACAGTATGACCTTAGATATCCTGTTTTGTTGAGAGAGAGAGAGGGAGAGAGAGAATGAGTAGAAAAAAGCCAATCCTTATACATTGCACGCTTCAAGGTCACTTACTTGTTTACATTTCTATAAATAACAGAGAGGGGAAACCCTGTTTGTTTTGAAGGTTTATACATATAGAAGTATATCTGTATTTACAGATGTATTTGTCTTTTAGGAGAATAAAAAAAATAACAGTCAGTCAAAAAAGAATAAATTCGTTCATTTGAGTAGAAATTAATTAACGAATCAAATTTTTTTGAATATGTTACAAACAAAACCTGTTGGACTCGCAAAAATTACTATGTGGTATATAAAAGAAGACCTTTCTCCGGATAAATATCTGAATAGTTTTAATATGTACTTGTCTTACTAATTAAATTACTTGTCATTTTTAATCAAGGAGAAAAAGAAGAAAGAGGGAAAAGCATAAATTAACATTATATCGGGAATCCCCTTGCATTTAAATATAAACTATCACGCCATATAAACCAGTGTTGACAAACGCCCACGAATGAAATTTGGGAAAATCGGTTTTCTTAAAAAAAACTTTAATATTCTTTCTTAAAGAGGTAAGATTAAGAATTCATTTGCGTTAAAGAACAATTGATGCAGGAGGGTGTTTTTTCACTCTGTTCTGTGTTTATTAAAAGGATGTTATCTGTGTATTATGGTCCTCACTTGAAAGGGTATGTCCTATTAATAATGTGACCTAGTTTGGCGCTCGATAAATCTTTTATTATTTTTTAATGTTTTATTTTTTTTCAATTGATGCATATTTTGATAAGAAAACTAATAAACTATTTTTTCCCCATACAACATACTTTAGGAATATTTTGTTCTACTTAATTAAGTTGACGTTAAATGAATGAAATTTTTGTTGCATGACAATTTTTTCTTTAATTAAATTTATTATTTCCTTTGCCATTAAAAGTAAAGCACTCTTCTGCAGAACGATAGCAAATTACTTAATTTAAGACTTATCCTTAGATAGTCGTGCTCGAGTACATGGAAAAAATAAATGTGATTCTAATTTGATTAAACTTTAAAATACAACGAAAAGAATTCTTCAAATTCAAATATTTGCAAGCTCTAAATTAGTAGAAGTACCCTCTCAATTGTAACATCAAGGATTATAATTATTAATTAGTATCATTCTGACAGTTTTATTCTTCTTTTAACTTACTTTGTACCCTAATTAACTTCAAAAGAGCGGATTGCTCTTTATATTAGCATTTTATATATTAAAATTAAAAAAAGAGAGAAATGTTCTATTTGATGTATTTGAGAATTAATTAATATTTCTTTTATTTTGCAGAAAATAATCGACAATGGTAATTGTCGATCAACCTGCCGTAAAATCGGCTGCCTCAAACACTGTGCAAGAAGAACAAACATACACTGGTATGATTAATAGTTTAATGTCTTACGAAATAAATATATTCCAAGATATATAATATTATATATGCTATATAGCTCAAAGTAAATTCATATTCAGAAAAGCTGCAAATTTTATAGCATTTTATCACAGATATATCTAAATGAAAAAAGACGTATTTGTTACATTTCTTATTTAAAAAACCGAAGGCCTTAAGAACTCCTTGCCTTAGATTCATTATTTATTGAAAAGCTTAATTACCTGAAAAATTCTTTTACGAATCATAAACCATTAGGTCATTGAATGTATATCGTCAGTGTAAATGTATTATGATACTCGATTGTCTTTTAAATAATTTATGCTTATAAATAATTTTATGGACTGGACATACATATACCAAATAATGTGTGTTTTTTCTGTTTCAGACAAACAAGGCGGAAACATTGATACCTCCAGAATGAGAAGATATAGGGTTGGGGGTACTAGAGTAATTCCAGAAAAAGAATTTCCCGAAAACCGAGAGGATCTAGTTGCAAGTAGCAACAATTTAACGGGTATTTTATTATTTACATAATTTGAAAAAAGCAAATGTTGTTTCAATACTTTTGATAAAAGAGCACTGGAAGTATATAGTGCCGTAATTATAATTTTTGTTTCTAAATACCTTACGTAATTTATATTACAAATCGATTGTTAAGTTATTTAATCAAAAATCATGATGGTGATAATTAGATTTTAAGAATAAAGATTACGAAATATCACTGAATTTATATTTCAAAATAAACACATAAAACTTAAATTTTTATGTATTTTTTAATGATTGTAGATGGACTGGGAGTAAATACCTATTGTGTCCCGAGCTTAAGTGATACAAAAGTTATTATAGCTGAGGGATCGAAAGACATACATTCACTCCCAGAGAAACAGTCTGAAAATGGGAGGAGCTTAACAGGTATTTGTTTTCATTTAGAAAACCATAAAATTGAAAGATAAAATTTAATTGTAAAAAGTGTTTAAATATTTATTACACCTCTTTAAACGTCTTCAATATAAAGGAGATACATGTACATAAAAAATACATTTATTGACTTGGTTGATGAAAATATGTTTTTTTGATAAATTCATTGCTTGCAACATTTAAAATCCCTTTTAATTCTACTTTTTTTTTAATTACAATGAATAATAAAAGAGGACAATATATATGAACATTTCAGACATGTTCTGTCCTTTTCAAAAGTAGGGGCTGAAGCCAGAAATTGTTAAAAACATTTTTTTTTAAAAAATTCCCCGTAGGGAAGTAAGACAGCCACTTAATGTCCATTTGCAATAGTAAAATATTATCTTGTTATATTATGTGGGCCGTCTCTGCTCCTTTCATACTACATGTCCCCCTCCTCCCGATATAACATACAGTGTATATGTCCTTTTTAAAGATGATCAGGTCTATGAATGCAGTTTGTCAGAATCATACCTTGTTGTAATGAAATATGTTTTATTTCATTTTTAGATGAAGGAGGGATAAATACACATTTTCTGAACACAGACAAGTATAGTTACCCTGAATCAAATGGTGGAAAAGTTATACCAGACGATGAATATCTCCCTCCAGTTAAACAAAGCAATGATGTTCTTGACTATTCAGGTAAATTCAATTACATTTAACATATAACTGAACCATATGTCAAAATGATCGTAAAATTTCATATGCTGAATACTGTAAAATCACATTTTTTGTGGGGTCAAATTTTCGTGGTTTGAGTAAAATCTCTTGGTTCTTGGGGATTTGAATTAGTGGATGAAGAATTGTTGAGTAGTTATGTATGTAACAATTTATATTTCGTGGTGGACATGAATTCATGGGTCTTTTCTTACCTCAAAAACAACAAAAATTAAACCCCATGAAAATTTTTGATTTCACATTATTTTATATACCGTCATGTATGGGTAATTGATCTGTGATTGATACAAAATCAACTTAATGTATAAAACATGACTCTCACTTGGAAAACGTATCACAGAAAAAAAATGTCACGCAAAAGTCATAATATGGTACAAAATACCATATTTCGAGCAAAGTATACAAATCAAACAATCAAATAAGTTTTTAAAAGAAAGTCAGGGATATATTTGGCAATTTATTCGTCAAATACTGAAATCTGTTGGTTAGTCATAATAACTCATCGAATTGATTGGTCTTGGGTAAGAATTGTGGTATTGAGTCCTATAAACCTTGATAGTTCCAAAGAATCAGAAAAAAATGCTTCATTTTTAACATAATCTTACATGTAAACTCTAATTTTTAGTAGGTTACATAATCATCGCTTCTTCTGCTTCACTTGAATTTTAACACTTTGCATTTTAAAATAGATTTCAGGGATATACAGGAAAAAAGAAAAATCAAAACTCAGCAAATAGAGGAGGACCAAAATGTCCGGAACAGGTGTGGTATGTAATTTTGGTGTGATTTTCATCTAGATTTTTGTTGAAAATTTTACAATGACATCTAACATGTACAAATTATCGTTTTAGTATATTTTTTTAAGTCAACTAAGTTTTTTGTCTCTATTTATCTATTTTTTTTCAAATTCCTCACTAAAATGTATTTTTGAAATTGACAAATAAACTGAAGTCCATAAATAAAATATAGAAAACTGAACTTGTCTATAATCCATGTTGCTTTAGCATTCGTATTTCATACATTTCAGGATTATTATCATATTGATTACATTTTTTTTAAAAGCATTAAACTTACAGGACATTTTTTAAAATCATTCAACAGAATCTGATTTAAATGATATCCTTACTGCGGACAAGCAAGAAGAACAATTAGAGCCACATCTGAAAGAAAACCCAGATGTAAGTTTCCTGGAAAGAAAATTATTTTGATTTTAAAAAGTCATCGTGATTTTGAAATCTTCTATTATACTTTTCCCCGGACTTCTACTAGCTACATGTGGTAGTTCATTTAAAAGAATAATATTTATTACAAATACTGTTATTTTTGAGCGGAACTCTTTCGAGCTAGAAATGAATTTCAAAATCATCACTTAAAAAATAAATTAAAGATGAAATTCGAACAAGTTACATGTAGCATTATATTCATTTCTTTTGTATGCATATTATATCTAAATAAAAAAAGTGTACTAGCAAACGAGCGGAACATTATTTACTTAAGTAAATATTTATGGGCATTATTGTTTTCAGGACACGGATAAGGTCAGTGATCTGGATCATTTTAAGGATTTAATTCAAGAAGGGGATGTGAAATATTTATCTCATGTCCGTGTTAAGAGACAATGTTGGATTCCGTATTTTGAATATCATCATCATTATCTGGTAATTGTTGCTAACGATGAAGGTATGACCATTCTCCACTTGACAACAGACCGACTCCTTAATTTGGTCTGCAGGAAAGAGTACATTGACTTTTCAAATAAGACACAATGTAATAATTTATTGAACTTTGACCTGGGTGTGGAACTTATGCACAGATATGAAATGCCGACAAAAGAAACAGATTTGGAAGCCATAGAAGAGAGAATTCAAAAAATGTGTAGAGTTGATTACGTAGAGTACAGTTTGACGTCACCAGAAAAGTGGTACTGTGAATCTCTGGTGTCATACGTCATGACTGGTAAAAAGGACTTTAGAGAGGTTGAAGAATGCATAAAGCGTTTTGGATATCGTGCAGAGATAATCATATTTGGAATAAATAATTTCTGCATGGTACAATCCATAACGAGGCGTGTTTGGTGTCGTTGCAAGGAGAAGTGGAGAACAACAGATTTGGTCAGCTATTTACACAGTTTAAACAGTGGATAAACCTGTTGTCCAATGAGACGGACACACTTGACTGAACGGTTTTTATGCATCACTGAACATTGCCGAACTTGTTTGAGGAAGGTTACGCAGTAGAGATTTGAATATGCAAGTCATTTATGCAACTTGAATATTTGATAGCAAACTATTTATCTTGTGTAATTTAAGTGTTTGCAACATTTCAATCAGGAGTTAAAGACGGTATGAGAAAGAAAGAGAGAGAGTATTTTTGACGTTACAATGTTGGTAGGAATGATTCATAACAAAGAAAAATGTATATATCAATTACATGTCTTAACGTGTTGCATAACTTCCACTAATAATATGGAATGAAACTTCACACTTTATAAAATAAATGTTTAAACATTTAAGGCAGGATATCGATTCTTCTCAATTTTTTTTAATTAAAAATTAATGAAATTTTCACAGGACAATATCACTAAGTGTTGGTATCAGTGAGATTAAATTTGACCGTTCAATGTTAGAGGCAAGGTCAGGTCAAGGTCATAAACTTTTTCCTGAACATTAAAAATTAAAAAAAAAATTACTGGTTCCAATCATGCGATCCCTACTTGTAATTAAAAAGATTGAATGTTTTTCTTTTTGCATAAAAAGATACTACCATATAGGGCCTATAAGATGATATTACCAAATTGACATGGATAATTTAAATAAATTGGATATTTGTTAATCCAAATTTCCTCTACTTTTCTTAATTTTTTAAAGATTTATTAGTTATTTTTATATCCTTCTTATATTTAACTTTCTCCAATTTCACATATAGTTAAGTTGTCACATACAGGTACCAAATGGTACAAAAACTCTAAGTTTTGATCGTTTACTAAGAGAGAAAAACATTTTTACGATTTTTTGGCTTAAATCTGTACTTAGATTTGAAGCATTTAAAAGATAAAATAATTCTAGTGTGTGTGAAAAATCTTATTTATTTGATATATTTTGAAACTTATGTCCCTTATTATTAATTTAACTTACATTTGAAAATTTCGTTTAGTCTTCGATTGCGTAAAAATTATAAATAAATTCAATGTTCTATAATAATATTGAGAGGCAGAAAAGAAGATATTTTCATACGCCACCATTCCGCCAAAAATATAGTCCCTGTTAGTTTTCAAACGCAGTTTACCATTTCTATTTACAGTTGTATAATTGTGATGAGGAAAGAAAAATATGGTCTTTTAAATCTCTTACATCTAAATATTTAAGATATATCAACAAGTGTACTTTGAATATTCTTCTAGTTAGAAACCAGAGAAGAATCCTACCTTAAGAAATCGTTTTTTGGTTTTAATTGAAGTATGAATAAAAGACCAGAAAAATCTTTCAGCAGTCTTTTTAAAACTTATTATGTGATATACATACATGTACATTGAGAAAGCACAGGCATTAATATATATTACGTAAACATAGGATCTCCCATTATTTGTAGTTGAATTTGATTTTTATTCAACGAATTGTGTGGGGTTTTTTTTATCATCGAGCCTTGGCGAGTGGATAAAAACACAAAATGAGATGGACGGAAGTCATATCTAACTACAAATCGAGAGATTCTTCACAACCAATGTCTTACAATGTTTTTATAAAGGACTTCACTTAAATTTACTTCATAACGCTAACACAAAAACCATTGTGACGTCATAATTGCACTTAACTGCGGTGTATCAAAAAAATATCCAATGAGGCATATCCATGGGATAACGATGTAAACATGTGATAATATCAGAATATAAAATCATAAACCAGATTGTGCTTCTTTGGTGATCCCCCTTTCAATATTTTTCAACGATATCGAGACGTCAACACTTGCCCTTGGAGGACGTTTATTCTGCATCCAGGGTGTACCTGAGACTAAAATTGATCTATGTTCCTTATCGTCACATCTTATCAGTATGAAACTTCAGCAGTTTTATCTCACATGACTACAGTGTCAGTCGAGAAATGAGCAAACTCGTTTTTAAAAAACCAAATGAATTTACAGTCAAGCCAAAAAACTCATAAAACTGAATAAAGGGCATAACATTTTCACGGCATCTTTTAAATTTCTTTAATGAAAGAAATATATAAAGCCACTTATTAACTCTTAATAATTTGTTTGTTTCATTTCTTCTTAAAAGAATTGTATAGATTGTATAGATATATATTCTTCATTTAGAATTTATTTTATTTAATTTTTCCTTTAATATTCATATTTTTAAAATATATAAAAGCAATGTAGAAAAAATTGATTTTCACAATCCATTTAAGGGGCAAGGGCCACGTGCACTTATGGTTTTTTTGGGATGTAAAATCCAGTTTGGTAGACAATGTAGTTTTTATTAATTGGACCATTGGTGACAGTGTATATCTTTAATATTGCCAATGTTTAAAGACGTCATGAAATCCTGTAATTTATTTAAAAATTGCCAAAAGTTGAATTCTTTAAAAAATATTTTAAATAGAGCAATCTCTGATCTATAATATGCGATTAAATATAGAGAGATTCATATTCAAAAGATCATTAAACATGTTCATTTAACTTTTGGATCGTTGGCCGTGCTCATATTGTGATTCTTTACTGAAAGGAAAAGGAATCAAAAACACTTGTGTTCTGTAAATCCAAGATCATTGCATTTTAACAAAAACATTTAAGAAATGAATTTAATTTTGGAAGATTCATGAGGTTATGAACTATCGACGCTTCACGCCGGCATATTTCATGAAGCGCGTAAGCGCTTCATGATAAATATGCCGGCGTGAAGCGTTGTAGCTCATATACCTCATGGATCTTCAAAAATTAAATTCATTGCTTTTATTAACATTATTTTCTAATCAGTTACCACATATCACTCCATTCAATTCCCATTTTTAAAGCAAAACAGTTTGCACTATATTTTTGACGTCAAGTAGGGTATTATAACGTAACAATGGAGATATTCATGCTCATCCATGGTCATTCATGAGAAAATGAAAATGAAAATTCTAATTTGTAAGGAATGTTAAGGACAAATAAATGGAAATGTAAATATGATCAAAAACCCGGTTTCCCAAAATAATTTTTTGTGTAGTAAATTAAAGCACCAGTTCTCTTTTTAAATATACAAATTGGGAAAAATAGTGTCAGTCAATAAATAGCTTCAAGGGTATGACAATTTAATGCATAAAATGAACCAATAGATTCCTTTGAAAAAAAGAAATAAGTTTTCCATTACATAATTTAGGATTCTAATTAAGCACTAAACCAGGAAATAATTAGTTTGAGAACGATCCATTGCTACCTTAGCGATATTACAAAATAATGTTGTTTGTCGAAGTTCATTTGTGAAGGAGGGTGCATTATTTTGTTTAAACATCTACAAATAATCTATTTTCAAGAATTTATTTGCATGAAAAAAAAAAACAATGAGTATATTTTTTAAAGTCTGTAAATTACATATTTAGGTTTCCTTATATAGTGTTTCTCAATTATGAAAAATAAGCCAATTTTAAATAAATTAACTCTCAAAAATAAATGCATTACATGTACAAAACTATTGTTTTTACAATTGCTTTTATCTTTGCACATTGGCAAAAATATTTACTATAGATTTATTTAAACTTAACTACGTGTATTTTTATATATCACCATTAATCTCCAAAGTATTATGTTAAACATAGAAATCCATCATTAATTCGTCTTTATTAATCTGAATTCAAATTAAAAATGAAAAAAAAGCATTCTAAGAGTTTTGAATAACCAAGACACGTTCCTTAACGGGATCCCCTTTTTGATTTAAGATGTTATTTGATAAAATCCTGTATTTAAAAAAGTGCCCACAATATGGACATTTCGCTTATTACATTTTTATGAATGAATATCTTGGAATTAAATCGATCTGCCTCACAAAGAAAGACGTGTTTGAATGCCAGAAGACATACACACATGCTTGATCAGAACAGTTTTTTACATATATAAAAAATAACGATGAAAAACTTAACTTGTTCTTTGATTTGTCACTTAGTGAGTACAATCTAACTGTTCCCTCACAACAGTTAGAATACCTCCCATAAAATTGCAATGTAGCAAAGAATTCCAGAATTCGAAACGATTTTGATGAATACAAGAGGGTTTGTATTAAAATTAAGTACCAAATTGATCATAAAAAATTTTTTTAAGCTTACATGCTTAACCCCCCCCCCTCACCCCCCCCCCCAAAAAAAAAACCCGCAGAAAGACAAAATTTTACTCATTTTATCAACGTTTTATTTAATTTTTTTCTTACTTCACAAAGCTCTAATTGGCAACTACTTTAGTTATGATATGTTTAGTTAAATTTTGATTGGCGCCAAAAAATCTCTTTAAAGGTCAAAATGGAAACCAGTTAAAAACGTTTGCGTTGGATCCTAAGTATTTCAAAACTAGAATTTTTTAACATTCTTTTTTGCTGAAGAGGAGAAAAGAATCTTTTTGATTGCAAAAGATTATCTCCCATTTCTAAGACTAACCAAATGAGTCCGTATATCTAAATAAGCACCTAAGAAAAATTTGCCTGGCGACTATTTTTGTTATTAGAAAACCAGCTGGCGCCTTAATTTTAGAGTAACTTAGAAGCCTATTGTTACCTGACCTCTCTGTAGAGTATACAACGACTGAGATCAATGCCACTGTTATAATAACAAGCATTCTTAGAGTATTGCATAAAAATACATGTCCCCTACCGGTTTCCCCTTTTCTCTTTCGGAGACAAACTCATTTGGAACTTTAATTTATTGCATAACGAACCCAATCGTAATCCAAATTATGAAAAAAATAAAAAAAATTCCGTCAAAAACCAATGAAGCGGAACGAAATTCAAACTTGATATGTAACTTATCAAGATACACTGACATACAAAAATCAGCTCAATATCTGCAAGTGTGTAGAAAAAAGTGCGGAAAACGAAGTAAAACAGACTGACAGACGGAAGGACAGACAAGCAGGCAGACAGACAGCTAGATAGACAATCGGACTGACTGACTCAGAGAAACCTAAAGTCGCCTCCGATTTCAACAGTTGAAAACTTGTAAATTTGTTTCCTATTTCTTTATTTTAAATGATAAACAATAAAACTCGGTTTTAACAAAGTCACTGGGACCTATGATATTACTTTGCGCTATCCATAATTTGTTATATACGTATAAGGTATCCGTTAATATATACAGTACCGACCAGACACAACCTAACAGAAAGCGAACCCGGAGCGAACCCCGGGTCGCTTATCCGGGTTCGCTCGGGGTCCGCTAGGGCTGACCCCGAGCGAACCCGGAGCCGACCCAAAGCGAACCCGTAGCGGACCCCCAGCGAACCCGAAGCGGACCCAGAGAGCGAACCCCAAATTCAGTAGCGGTCCCAGAGAGCGAACGCGGGTTCGGTATCTCTTTACAGAGCTGTCAATCAGGATTAGCGATTAACCAATCAGCGCATTAACCAATCAAAATAGCATATTGATCTGTCGATTTGGATATAAGATCGAACGTGTTGATTTAATTTGATATATATCCAAACACTGTACGTACAAGCAAAATTAAATGTGTGAACGTGCTGTGTAAATCTATTATGATTATTAAAATATTATTTAATATTTATTATAATATTTTAATTCTCCGGGTTGTATTTTATATTTTTATTCTTTTTTTATTAAAGCAATTAATTAATTATATGTTTTAATTTTCCACGTAGAATTATACATGAATATTTACGTTTTTATTTCTATGAGTCGTCCTCCCAATACTGTACTCAGATTGTTTTCTATAAGCCTGCTGCAGCTATTTTTTTCTTCAAAAACTATACATGTACAGGAAGATGTATATAAAGCACTAAAATGACCAACAGTTTTCGGGACGCTCTGTCCTTTCCTCGGGACAAAGAAAAAAGTTAAAAAGTCCTAAGAATAAAGGAAAAAGAGAAATCAAAAACAACTAGCAATTTACTACTAAACTACTTAACACTATATATTTACATAGTTACATGTTGAATTGGAAATTTATATAAACACTAATAAAGAAAGAAATCCGGACCGCTATGAAATGCATGAACATCTGGTTTATCGGGGTATACTCTGGTGAAGTGCGATTTACATACATGTAATTGAACGAATTAGTTACGCTAATTAATCACGACATTAAGTAAATCGTACATTGTTTCATTCTCTCAAAATGGCGTAACTATACTTGATAGAGAATAATCAAAGAAATATAATATAGAAGGGATATTTCAACATATGAATTATGATCTATTATAAATTTTGAAATGTTTGAGGACTTATTATTGGGAAAAAATAATTAATAAAGGGGTAAGCAATAAATAGTTATGTGGGTTGTTCGAGAGTTGGTAACGCAAACTAACTGTAGAGTTACACTAAATTGAAAGAATAATCTTGTTAGGTATCATCAGGAACTGGGTCTTATTCACGTTCATTCTGGTAAAGTCATTCAGTTTGTAAATACCATTAGGGTGGAATGACTTCAATCTGTGCACCCAGAAGGAAAATTTTCATATACACTCATTTTTTATGCCCAAGAAGATTAAGAAGATCAATAATTTTGATGTAATTTTTGAATAATTTAATGTTACACGTAAATTGAGAAATCATAAATAAAATAATAAAATAATAAGAATTTTTTTAAGACAATGTGTGTGTGAAATAGGGGGCATTTATTAATATATTCTTATCGGGAGGGGAGAACAATTATTAAAATTTTGCCTTTTTCTTTATTCTGATAAAAATCACACTCGCTCCAAAATTCTGACCGTGAAAAAGATCTAATATACAGTGTAATTTTGTTTTTGTTTTTTTAGAAAATGTCCGGTAAATATTCATTTCGAACTTTTAATGTTTAACTTCTATAAATGAAATCTAAATATATCAGATGTACAAAAGGTTACATGTAATTTATGCGATCATAATTCACGTGTTAAGAAAACATTTAAACTACGATTTAGCAAAACGTTAGGAATAACAAATGTACTTTAAACTATATAAAGCATGAATTTAAAAGGTATATTTCGTTTAGATTTCTTTCGTCAGTTTCACTTGAAAACTATTCGATACACTGAAAATCAATTCAACACTCTTTGCTTCCTCTTCTTTTTTGTTTTCTCGTTATAACTTAAGAAAAATAAATGCCTTTTAACCCGCTGTTAAATTAGTTTGAATTCCTCGGGATCGAGAAATCACGGAAATCAATTACATGTTATTCATGTACATGTTAATCTATGTCGAATGTACAGTTGAATTTTAGAAAATTTATCAACGTTCTCCATTATATCAATGTTTACATGTACAGTGTACATGTCCGCATCGTCGCATAAACAACAATGATCGATCCACAATACCATTACTGTACTGGAATATACAAGGGGCGGGGCTTACTGGCGGTGAGATTAAATTTGTCCGCTTCACGCATTTGCATAAAGCGGTAAGCGAACGCCGGGTAAACCCAAGCTACCCCGAGCGAACGCGGATTTTACCCGGAGCGCACCCAAAGCGCACCCGGAGCGCTCCCAAAATTTCTGAAAGCGAACCCGAAGCGATATCCATAAGCGAACCCAGTTATATACGGGTTCGCTCTGGTGTTAGGTTGTGTCCGGTCGGTACTGTATAGCCTGGGATACAAGATAACTTTGCATATCCGCGAACTCGAAATTTGCGTTTTCGTACTAAACGAATTTTACTGTAGTCTTAAAAATAAGGAGAAATTGTTTTAATTTCCTTTAGATTTGCATTGATGGAATACAGTCTCTTAGTTAATTTTTTAAATTACATTTCACATAAAAACGGTAATTTGATTAAAGTGTGAATCCGAAAACATTATCAATCTGTAAACATTAATTAGAGCTTATTGAAAATGAATCGTTTTCGACAATATTCTACAGTAATTAAATTTTCGAGAATAAACAATATTCACTGTATGCTATTTAACATTTTGATGACATTCCTTATGAAATTCAAATGATATTTTCCAACAATTATAGATCGTTGATCTGTTTAAATAAAGAACTTTTTCATTAAATATTGAAAATTAAAGGAATCTATTATCCTTTTGTTATTCCGGGAATATTTTGTTTCGATCAATCGGTGTAATTGTTCCTTTTTATAAGTTTAAATCAAACATTACCAATTTAATATATTGCAAACTGTCACTCAATATTTTACAGGTAAAAGATGAAGTTGAAAACTGGCGTCCAGCAATTTTATTTAAAGGCATTTTTATTTTATCTATTTATGACAATTTGTGGGCAATGCTTTGCAAGCAGTTTGGAAACAAATCTTCAGAGATTGTCTTATTTTGATAACTTTTTTCCATCAGACTCTAACGTCGTATTTTCTCAGTTCGAAGGAATAAGTCGCATTACTTGTGCTACGAAGTGTATTGAGGATAAATCTCTTTGTACCGGAGTCATGTACAACGATTTGGCAAAATCATGTGAACTACTGAACGCTCATTTAAATGAAACTTCGCTAAATTATCCAGAGGATGGATGGGGGTACTGGATAATTGTTGGTTTGTATTTGCCGAATGCAAAATAAAAATTTACTATAAATATATGCATAAAGAATAATGATTTTTTACTGATATTGTTATAAGCAGTTTTATTTGATTGATTGATTGATTGTATATTGTTTAACGTCCCTTCGAGCATTTTTCACTCATATGGACACGCAATCAATTGCCAGTGAAGAGCTTCAAATTTTGTCCTATGCTCGGAACTCAGGGCCATTGAGGGGTCTTTTTCCTGCCAGCACCAACTGCCACTAGGGACTTCAGTTTAGACAGTCTCATTCGAAGGACCGGTCTCCACGTCCCACAGTTTGATTCGAACCCGAAACGTAAGGATCATCTTCGCGACTCTATAGCAGACGCTATAACCACTAAGCCACACGGGCGACTAGACAGTTTCGAAGAAGAATTCAAGCATAGTTTATTTTTTCTGCTTTTATGAAATTTTTAATGTAGGTGAAACGTTTTTAAGAAACAATTTCTTCTTCGGAAAAGCTTAAAAAAATATTACATCTTTCAACGCAAACCATAACTACCGTATATACTCGCCTATAAGTCAGTATTTTGGGAGTAAAATTTTAGTCCAAAAGTCTATGTCCGACTTATAGGCGAGTCATAAAAAACTGGTAATTTTCTGGATGGCGAATCGTATTCTATAAACATTTTCAACAGCTATCATTGAACAAAGTATGGATACATTATATCATTTATATATTATAAGATTATACATAAATTACATGTATCTTGTATACATGTATGTAATAATTTTACTTTTTTTTCATAATTTAAAGTTATATGTCGACCTCATTTCTAAAAATATTAATTAAAAACTGGGTAAAACACCATAGCATTTATTAGACAATGTCATCTGATTCTGGCAAAAAGTTGTACCGACTTATGAGCGGGTCAATAGCAAATCCCTGCCAAATAACCTCAAAAAATACAACCGACTTATAGGCGGACCGACTTATAGGCGAGTATATACGGTACCTAGTGCTTTGAAATCAGACAGTTAAAAGGATTATATAATATTATATTAATATCTTAGTATATTTCAGGTTGTGATCCTGAGTGGACGTATTTTTCAGGATATTGTTATAATCACTTCAATCAAACGCCAATGTCATGGTTTGATGCTGCAGTGAGTGATTATAAAACTTTACTTAGGGAATATTATAATGAGTTAAATTAACTTACTTGTTAAGAAACAATCATTTAACTTTTGTAATGGATAATATTGAATACATTTAATATTGAATAAAATATCAATTAATATAATTACTTATTCTTTTTAGGTACAGTGTGAAAGACACAATGCATATCTTACGGATGTAAATTCCTTAGAAGAAAATACATGGATTTTTGAAAATCTTTTCGGTTTGTATCTTTAGAAAATTTATAAATATAATACCTTATTATTTTCAATGGTAATAATTAAGATAGATTGATCAAAATTAAAAGTAATAATACAATAATTAATTAATTATTAATTTGAGCAATGATCTAATCCAGCACTTGACTGTGGTGGGCTAAAATAAATTTTGACCTGTACTTGACACTTATTGCTTTTGAGCAGTGAATGGTCTTTTATGACAGCACCTTTACTGCAGCATAGGGTTTCAGTTAATATTATGCCATCCGAAGTACCGATCTCTACATCCAAAATTATCCCATGTTTCCCACTATTGTTGATGTCCCTGACATACCCTCCTAACTAGACAGTGATTCCTTATATTTCCATTTCATTGTGAAATAAAATTGTAGATTTAGACTTTAAACATGTCGATAAATAGATTTAAATCACATGATGACTTCCATACCAATTTCAATAGTCCTCGCCAACCGACGTCAAACACAAAGACAGCCGCACGAGATTTACATGCATATTTGGCCTCCTTAGCGTCAGACACACAGACAGATGCGCACGAGAATTGCACGCGTATTAGGCCTCCTTAGCACCCGACCTATCGACCTGCCAAATTTACATTCCGGCGGAATTATCCAGAAATAAACTACACCTAACTTTCAAAGAGTTATCACAGAGAAAAAAATTAGAAATGGAAATATTGACGGATATTTTTACAAAAATATTAACCAAACTATTCTGACTTGTATTTTCAACACTAATATTTTGGTATACAGTAAGCATTTATTGAATCATTCATTCTAACAAAAACGCCATTGTCCACGAAGTTTTTGGATAACCCATGTATAGGTCGTAATACGAAAGCCGGATAGGCTTATTTCTGAAAAGATAAAAAAAATATTTAACTCGTTATAACGAGTAAATTTTCTCGTTATAACGAGTAAATTATCTCATTATAACGACTTAGCATCTCGTTATAACGACTTAGTTGTCTCGTTATAACGAGTTAGTTATCTCGTTATAAAGAATTAGTTTTCTCGTTATAACGAGTTAATTATCTCGTTATAACGAAATAATAAGTTGCCCTTTTATTTCCAAATTAATAGCAATATAGGAATTAAAAATGGCTGCAGTTTTAATGCCATTGAAGTTTAGTTGATAATTATCAGTCGTACTTAACTTTCAAATTGATAAAGAGATGCAAATATAATTTGCAATATGGTTTTAATAATATTAATCCTATTCGAACTACAAGTATCTTGCCGTCAATAATCACAATTTGATAAAAATAGCAATCTTTTAATCGAACACATTTACACATTTATACGTTGTTGTGAGGTGTGTTGTATTTGTATTGTTTCATCATGTCTATTATTAGTAACATTAAGTTTCTTGAACATTCCAGAGTGGTCAACATGTTCGGTCATTGTTTCTAGAACATTCCTGAACTTTGTGTATGTCCAGAACTTTCCAGTAATATCATGTACTTACAACTTCTAGAATATTCTAGATTTATGATACTGTATAAATACCCTGTCAATTCGATGCATAGATACTTTTGTCGTATGAGCACCATTGAGTTACAACTGGGACATATTTTCACTGGGACATTGTGTGCAGCAACGGACACTCTGATGTATGTATTCTTAGATTCTTGCTAAGTTTGTACTTTATGTTTCATATACTTATTATATATTACTGTAAATAAATTATTGTTAAGTTTAATTTGTGTTATTGATCTTTGCTGGCATTTCGGGTAATTCTGACCCATAACAGAATTGGGGGCTCGTCCGGGATCAAGAATTTCTTGCACTTTTGCAGTTCATTGTCAGAATTTTGTTAATTAAATTGTTAAATTTGACTATAAGCCAGCAAAAATCAACATGGTATTTTCGGTCACAAACTTTCTTAGTTCGCCAAGTGTTCAGGTTTTTGATACGTTAAAAAAGGATGACTTGATCGCATTAGGTTTGCATTTTGGGTTAGATGTTAAATCCTCTCAGAGAAAGCAAGACATTAGAATTAAGGTTGCAAACAAACTAGTAGAAGAAAACATCTTTGAAAAATACGATCTTCCAGAATATACAGTTAGATCAGAGTTAGGCTCTTATAAAATGACAGACTATCAGTTTCAATTAGAGTTAGAGAAAATGCGATTTGAAAGAGAAGAGCGAGAAAGAGATAGAGAAAGAGAAGAACGAGAGCGTGAACGAAAATTTGAATTAGACAAATTAGCAGCAGAAAGAGAAGAGCGAGAAAGAGAGCGTGAAATGAACTTTGAATTAGAGAAATTAAAATTACAAAACCAACCAGAACCGTCATTTGTCAAGAATGAATTTGACGCAGCAAAAAATATTAGGTTAGTTCCAAAATTTCAAGAAAAATCTGTAGACAAATATTTTCCCCAATTCGAGAAAGTCGCAGAAAATCTTAAATGGCCACAACACGTTTGGTCAACAATGTTACAAAGTGTACTGGTTGGCAAAGCAGCTGAGGTATACTCTGCACTAGGGGTAGCTGAGAGTTCAGACTATGAGAAGGTCAAAGCAGCAATATTAAAAGCATATGAATTAGTACCTGAAGCATATAGACAAAAATTCAGAAAGTATAGGAAGTTTGATAATCAAACATTTGTTGAATTTTCACGAGAGAAAGAAGATTTATTCGATCATTGGTTTAGATCTAAGAAACTTGATAAAACTTTTGATAATTTGCGCCAAGTCATCCTGGTAGAAGAGTTTAAGGAATGTGTTTCTCAAGATTTGAAAACACATTTAGAAGATAAGAATGTGAAAACTCTTGAAGAGGCAGCAGTCATATCTGATACTTATGCTCTATCTCATAAAAAGAATTTTGTATCAAGATCTCAGACTAGCAGCAATTCTACCAATTCAGACACATATAAAAAGAGTGGTTCAGGGTCTCAGTCTTTCACAAGTTCCCAGTCTCCATCCCAAGGTGGTTCTAAGTCCGGTCCAGGACGTTTTGAAGGATCTTCTGGAATAGGGTCGCTTCCTACTTGTAGTTATTGTAAGAAAAAGGGTCATCTGATCAGTGAATGCTTTAAACTTAAGAGAAAAAATGATTTTGATAAAACTCAACCACACGCTTGTGCGGCAGTTAGAGGTGATAGAGAAGCCTTAGTTTCGATTTGTTCTGACACTCCTGATGTCCAGGGTTCACAGTCCAGTTCTATTGATTCTATGGAGGAATATAAGCCCTTTATGTCTCAGGGATTTGTTTCACTCGGTGACTCTAGCGAAATAAAACCTGTCCAGATTTTGAGAGATACTGGTGCTGCACAGACGTTATTGTTAGAGGGCGTGCTTCCTTTGTCTGAGCAGACTTCTACTGGTGGGTCAGTTTTATTACAGGGTGTGGAGCTAGGTGTCATTGATGTTCCCCTGCATAGAATTAGTTTGAAGTCAGATTTAGTTACTGGACCTGTTATCGTAGGTGTTCGACCTACTCTTCCCGTTCCAGGCATTTCTTTGTTGCTAGGCAACGATTTAGCTGGTGGAAAAGTTGTACCAGATCCTATAGTTTGTGAGAAAATCACTCCAGATGTTATGTGCGATGATGAAGATGATGACATTTATCCAGCCTGTGCTGTTACTAGAGCGATGGCCAGAAGACGAGAAATGGAGGCAGACCATACTCAAGCCTTTGACGAGACGAATTCCTCTGTTGATATTGATTTGAATGACACTTTCTTATCTGACTTTGATGGCACTCAAACCAGCATGGAATTACATAATATCAAGAAGCAAGAGAAGAAAGAATTTTTACCAAAATTTGGTGGTGAGGATGATGTTAGCCAAGGCAAGGACATCCTCAGCCGAGAACGTTTACTCTCTGAACAACATAAAGACCCAGATATCATTCAACTTAGTAAGAGGGCACTTCCACCAGAAGAGGCTATTAAAGTTGGAGAATGCTTTTATATGAAAGATGGCATCCTTATGCGAAAATGGCGACCACCTGACGCCTCTCCAGATGAAGTTTGGCGTGTTGTTCACCAGATAGTGGTCCCAGCTGCTTATCGTCGAGATGTCATGAGTTTAGCTCACGATACACCTATGGCTGGTCATTTAGGTATCAATAAGACTTATAATAGGATTTTGAGTCATTTTTATTGGCCTAAGCTAAGAAAGGATGTTTCGAAGTTTTGCAAGTCATGCCATGTCTGTCAGATGGTAGGTAAACCAAATCAGAAGATACCATCTGCTCCTCTCCAACCCATTCCAGCTTTTGAAGAACCGTTTAGTCGAGTGTTGGTGGATTGTGTAGGACCTTTGCCTAGGACTAGATCTGGAAACCAGTATTTACTTACCATTATGTGTACATCCACTCGGTTTCCTGAAGCCATACCTCTTAGGAATATAAAGGCAAAGAGCATAGTTAAGGCCCTAACCAAGTTTTTCAGTTTTGTAGGAGCACCCAAGGCAATTCAGTCGGATCAAGGCTCAAATTTTATGTCGGGGTTGTTCCAGCAAGTCATGCATGAGTTGGGTATTAGGCAGTATAGATCAACTGCTTATCATCCTGAGTCCCAGGGAGCGCTAGAACGTTTTCATCAAACCCTAAAAACAATGCTGAAGACCTATTGTTACCAGTATGAGAAAGAATGGGACGAAGGGGTTCATCTTGTGCTGTTTGCTGCACGAGAAGCAGTCCAGGAGTCTCTTGGGTTCAGTCCTTTTGAATTGGTGTTCGGACATACAGTTAGAGGTCCTTTGAAATTGTTGAAGGAAAAGTGGCTGACTGAGACTAGTGATCTTAATCTTTTAGATTATGTGTCTGATTTCAAAGAAAAACTTTACAATGCTTGTAAATTAGCACAAGAAAATTTGAAGAATTCTCAGATGAAAATGAAAATGTGGTATGACAAAGATGCCAGAAATAGGGTGTTTAAGCCAGGTGATAAGGTTCTTGTATTTTTACCTATTCCTGGTCATCCTTTACAGGCCAGATTTTATGGCCCTTATGAAATTGAAAGCAAGATCAGTGATGTAAACTATGTAGTTAAGACACCAGGTCGACGTAAAGAGAAACGGGTTTGTCACATTAACATGTTAAAAGAGTATTTTGAAAGGTGTGACCGAAATTCTGTAAAACCAGTTTCCACTTTAGCCAATGCTAAGACTGTTCAAAATTGTATTGAAAGTGATACGAGTGTAGAAATGAATGAGAAAGATTGTAATCAGAGTGTCCGCTTGAAAAACTCCGAAATTTTGGCTGATTTTGATGCCAAACTTGGACATTTGAACATTCACCAAAAAGAACAAGTTAAAAACTTGATGAATGAGTATCATCAAATCTTTTCGGATGTTCCAAAGAAAACTAATGCAGCTTGTCATGATGTTATAGTTGGCGACGCTCTGCCTATCAAACAACATCCGTACCGTCTCAATCCAATAAAATTGCAGTACCTAAGAAGGGAAGTGCAGTACATGTTGGACAATGACATTGTTGAACCTAGTAAAAGTGATTGGAGCTCACCGTGTATTCTTGTACCAAAACAGGACGGTTCCTACCGATTATGTACAGACTTTAGAAAGGTGAATTCTGTTACCAAAACTGATTCATATCCAATACCTAGAATCGATGACTGTATTGACAACATTGGAAACGCGAAATTTGTCAGTAAATTTGACCTGTTGAAAGGCTACTGGCAAGTGCCGTTAACAGAAAGAGCAAAAGAAATATCTGCTTTTGCTACACCAGATGGACTTTACCAGTATAAAGTAATGCCTTTTGGCATGAAAAACGCACCGGCTACATTCCAAAGGATGATTCACTCCCTTCTTCAAGACCTTGAGGGATGCGAGGCCTACATTGATGATGTCATCATATACAGTGACACATGGGACGAACATCTTCGAATCATGCGTGCTTTATTTGACATTTTAGCTAAAGCAAACTTAACTGTGAATCTTGAGAAGAGCGAATTTTGTCATGCTTATGTAGAGTATTTAGGTCATAAAGTAGGTCAAGGTTATGTTACACCCATAATGGCTAAAGTGGAAGCTATTGCAAAGTTCCCGATTCCTACAAACAAGAAAGAGTTAATGAGGTTTTTGGGCATGGCTGGGTTTTACAGAAAATTTTGTCCAAATTTTTCCTCAGTAGTTAGTCCACTTACAAATCTTTTTACAAAAGAGGGTTAATTTTGAATGGACAAAGGACTGTGAAAAATCATTTCATAAAATCAAATCTGTCCTTATGAGCAATCCAGTTCTGTCAACTCCAGATTTTTCTAAGCAATTTAAGCTTACTGTTGATGCTAGTGATGTTGGAATCGGGGCAGCTTTGTTTCAAGAACATAGTGATAATGTAGATAGAGTTGTTTCTTATTTTTCAAAGAAACTTACAAAATGTCAACAAAAGTATTCCACCATTGAAAAGGAATGCCTTGCTTTGTTGTTAGCCTTACAGCATTTTGATGTTTATCTGAATGTTACTTTGCATCCAATTCTTGTATATACGGATCACAACCCCCTGACATTTTTGCATAAATTGTCAAACAAGAATCAAAGACTGACTAGATGGAGTTTGTTGTTACAAGAATACAACATAGCAATTAAGCATATCAAAGGCAAAGATAATGTTATTGCAGATGCCTTGTCCAGAGTATCATAAACAAATTAGATTTTTGTATTAATGTACATATGTTTTACAATTTAAGTTTTTCATTGACATTCAAACTTTTTAAGGGGGGAGGTGTTGTGAGGTGTGTTGTATTTGTATTGTTTCATCATGTCTATTATTAGTAACATTAAGTTTCTTGAACATTCCAGAGTGGTCAACATGTTCGGTCATTGTTTCTAGAACATTCCTGAACTTTGTGTATGTCCAGAACTTTCCAGTAATATCATGTACTTACAACTTCTAGAATATTCTAGATTTATGATACTGTATAAATACCCTGTCAATTCGATGCATAGATACTTTTGTCGTATGAGCACCATTGAGTTACAACTGGGACATATTTTAACTGGGACATTGTGTGCAGCAACGGACACTCTGATGTATGTATTTTTAGATTCTTGCTAAGTTTGTACTTTATGTTTCATATACTTATTATATATTACTGTAAATAAATTATTGTTAAGTTTAATTTGTGTTATTGATCTTTGCTGGCATTTCGGGTAATTCTGACCCATAACAACGTGAACGTCTCTAAGTACACACTATTAAAAGTATATGGCCAAATGTACTTGCTTCAAAGGTTTGCAGTTTAAGTATAACAACTTTTTCCGATAAAACACGCTATTTTTTTATATATATGTTTAACTTTTGGATGACCTTATAGCTTCCATAATCAATGTCTAATTTCTTAATTAATGCATTATAATGGCAAGCTAAGGCAGGCGTTAGTTACGCAACATATCTTATATACACTTACAGTGTGATATATATTATTTTTAGAGTCAGAAATGTTTTGAAGAAGGGGGGTATGCAGACATCAGCAATTAGGTCTTGGGCCCGCGTAAAATTCGGGGGCTACTGTCCACTCATAACACAACATCACGAGGCAGTCATAAGGTTCCGTATACACGTATTTGTCTTTGGTTTTTTTTAGTAAAACAATACAAATCAACTGCATCGTTTATAATTAAACGAACTACAATCACAGACACAACCCCTCGAGAAAAAAAAAACAAAACTAGTTTGCTGTTTCTCAATGAAATATTTATCATACACACTTTAAACAAACTTGATCGACTCGATTTTATAAGCAATACTTCCTATTACTTACATATATCAACTTTAGATCAGTTTTTAACTCGTTATAACGAGAAAATTAACTCGTTATAACGAGATAATTAACTCGTTATAACGAGATAACTAACTCGTTATAACGAGATAACTAACTCGTTATAACGAGATAACTAAGTCGTTTTAACGAGATAATTAACTCGTTATAACGAGATAATTAACTCGTTATAACGAGATAATTAACTCGTTATAACGAGATACTAACTCGTTATAACGAGATAATTAACTCGTTATAACGAGATAACTAACTCGTTATAACGAGATAACTAACTCGTTATAACGAGATAACTAAGTCGTTATAACGAGATAATTAACTCGTTATAACGAGATAATTAACTCGTTATAACGAGATAATTAACTCGTTATAACGAGATAACTAACTCGTTATAACGAGATAACTAACTCATTATAACGAGATAACTAAGTCGTTATAACGAGATAATTAACTCGTTATAACGAGATAATTAACTCGTTATAACGAGATAATTAACTCGTTATAACGAGATACTAACTCGTTATAACGAGATAATTAACTCGTTATAACGAGTTAATTTTTTTTTATCTTCTCAGAAATGAGCCTATCCGGCTTTCGTATAGGTATTCAGATAGCTGAGATTTTATTTCGCGTGTCAATCATTTTCTCCTTTTCAATGAAAACAGATTCAGAAGAGTGCAGAGGATTTTCGAACTGTTATGTTTGGAGTGGAGGGCATAGGCTTGACGAAGATGGCAACTTTATGTGGATGGGAAGTAACTCTACTATTGAATTGGTCTCATCATGGGCTCCAAGTGAACCGAACGGTCGGTCGGGCGATGAAAACTGCATTGCAATAAAACGCTCAACAGGGAAGTGGTGCGATGCCTCCTGTTATTATCTGCTTTCATATATTTGCAAAAAAAAAAAAGATTATATATAAATGACAGAATAGCTGGATAATTGCGTTACTTATAAGTTTTTAATCTTTGAGACAGACATTGATGTAAGCAACGCCAGTTTAAGGGATATTGAAAATACTGTGTAACACAGGTAGCTTAAAAATAATCTTTTTTTCGAGTGCTCTTTATTGAGAAATATTACTCATGTAATGCTAAGCTCGTTCAACGTATGTTGAAAATTCTGTGAAAAACAGAATTTCTTTCTTGAAAAACAATTTTGATAAATATTATTTTCACTGTCTTTTTCGATTTTTCTTAATTGAGAAACATTACACATGTAATGCGAAACCCGTTTAACAGATGTTGTGCCACTAAGAATACATAGTTGTTGAACAATTATAATAAATATTCTTTTCACTATCTATATCGATTTGTCTTTTTGAGAAACATTACATATGTAATGTAAAGCCCATTTAACGAATGTTGAAATAACTGTGCAACTCAGGATTCACGGTTCAAAACAATGATAAAAATATTTTTTCACTTATCTTTTTTCATTTTTTTTAAAGAGAACATTACACAGTTATGTAACCTTATCCTTAATCAATATAAAATAAATAAAATAAAATTGTTAACAATTTCTAGCAGATGCTAACATATAAATTTTAAAAGATACCATTAAAAGGAAGTATCATAAAGCTTGGTGTGTGATTGGTTAATTTGTGATGATGATTTAGTAGGTAAAAAAAAGATGACTAAGCAGTGTCCGAGAATGTTTCACTATATAAAACTTTTTTACAAAATATTTTTACTTTTTGACTGATCTTTAACATGTGAAAAATGATCCTATTGCTAATTGTTTTATTGACAATACAATTTAAATTGATATATTGTTATCTATAATTTTCAGGAAAGAATACAGTAAAGCTTTTATTTCCTATTTATCTATGTTTAAATCGAATTAAATTTTTTTGGTAAAATTATAATTTCAAAACATTTTTTAAATTTTGTTTAAAGTACATTAGCAATTCAGACAGAAAATTTTGAAGTGTTTTATTCCCTATAAGGATTTTCTTAAAAGACTGTTTTTAAATCATTTTTGAGTTATGTTTCAGCGTGTATTTAATTAACAGCATTCTAAATTATTGTAATCATTCAGTAAAGTCAGATGCTGATCGACTTTTTCGACCATACTATTTTAAGGCATTATTTACACTCTAAATTGTTGACGATTTTCCTTTCACATTCGTAAATTGTTGTCCCCGATCATATCAAAGAGCACACGGCGGGTGTGACAGTTCGGCAGATGCCCACTCCTCCAAAGATCCTGGTCCCATCTTCGTGGTTGCTCTGCTCCTGTTTTGTTTTGTTAAATGGTCTTTAGAGCTTGAATACTCTTCGTTATCTTCTTACAAATATTCTACGTTTATGTTTTAGTGGGTGTTGTCATGTCCTTGCTTGTCATATCTGATGTAAAATACATATCATTTTGATCGAATGACAGATAAGAAGTTACATTTATTTTATACGATCAAAGTACATGTATATAAAATGTACTGCTTGTATACATTTTTTGATTAATTCATTAAAAGTTACCAAAAACTAAGCCATAGACATACAGTTAAAGGATTTCAGTTCCAGCAGATTTAAAATGGCCATCGTTCACATAATACAAAAAAGATATCCTGAAGTAACCTCAAGTACCAGTGTTTTACTTTTAACATTTCAGGTCACAGTCTGTACGTACACCCACTTAAAATGACTGTGTGACTAAAATAGAAGTACTTTTCCTCGGTTTTTCCATTTACATATACTCTACATGTATGTTTGTTTTCCATAATTAGAATAAAAACTGCGATGTATATTAATTCGAAAGAAAATGCGCATATTAATTTTATTCTATCCTCTTTCGCCAAGTTTTTTGCATTAGAAATGCATCACATTGAATGTTTATATTTCTATGATTGATTTTATCCATTTGTGTTGTATTCGCTTCGCTGTTGATTTCCAGGTTAATTATTTCCAAAAAACATTATGAATATATGAAACAGTGATTTATGTAAAATAAGTATATACAAACAAAGCAAATGTTTATAGCAGGGCATAAACGTTGACCCTCTAGGTGGAATCACAAGCTTAGAAGGAATAAACATCTCCTGTTGACCGTTATGAGCTCTATAAATATATTTTCATTAAAATAAGTAGGAACTTTCTAATTCAAGACTGTAAATTGAAGTTAACATCTTTAAATTCATACTTCCCTCTTCCTTTCTTTTTAAAATTGAGAGATGTTCATGCATCCGTTTTATTCTCAGTATTATAAAATATTTTAAAAAAACTTGATGGACAGTATATTATGAAAAAATAAGGAGTATCTCGACAGAAAAAAAGTGACATTTTTTCCCTTTATTTGATACAATTTCTATAACATAGATAGATATTATGTAAAAAAGTAAGTACATTTTAAGTATTTAGGTTTGCTTTAATTCCCACTTCGCGAAATCAAATGAATCAGAAATGTACAATCACTCGTAGCTTGCAGGACCTTATTTGCAGATTCATGCTTTGTTGTAAACATGTAAAATGATACAGATTTATATATATTATCATAACAGTAACTTAATTCGAAGGGTCTTATCACCTCAAGTTGACAGACGCAAATCATCAGATCTAACAATACGCGAAGTTTGTATCTTTGATCAGTTTATAAATAATATACCTTATTATTTTCACTGTTAGTAGACGAGAAAGATTAATTAAAATCAATTGTAAAATCAATTTGAGCAAATGATCTGATCCACCACGTGTCTGTGTGAGGTAGTAAATTTAGAGCTACACTAGACACAAACTACATTTGGGCATTGGAGGGTCTTTTTTGTGACAACAGCTACGGCAACACAGGATTTCAGTTGATGCAATGCTATCCGAAGTAGCGAAGTAGCTATCTCCACGTACCACCAGCCTGCACAGTTCATAAGGATCAATTCCTTACTCCCTTACACTACAAATTAAGATCAATTAGTGCTTACTTCTCCAAGGCACTTGATCCCCTTTCAGTGGTCCTTGTTCTCTACCCTTTTCACATAGAGGAACCGAAAATTGTTTTTAAAAAGGTTAAAGTTGGCTATTCTCTCGGTTCATTCGATACACAATAGCTTACAAAACGTAAGAACACTTTTGTAACAAGGTATATTATTGACAAACAAGTTGATGAAACAAGAATAACAGCAGTCCAGTTTTAGTAATCATTGCCTATATAAGATCTATGACTGATGCGATACTTTATAGCAAGTGCAATTTATCATTAAGTAAAATGCTGGAAGACGTTTTTCATCTTAGCTTTAGGCCATTATTTGCACGTCAAACTGTCGGTAGATTATTTTGCTCCATGATAGATAGGTATTCCGACCGCTGCATTTTTCCTTTGCGTAACAAAGATGTTCTTCTTTTTACTGAAATTAGATACAGAGGAGTGCGGAGGGACTGTGAACTTTTTTTTTTTTTTTTTTTTTTTTTTTTTTTTTGAGAGAGGGAATGACTTTGGTACAAATGGCAAATTTATGTGAAGGGGAACTAACTCTGTTGTTAAATTGGTCTCCACGAGGTCCCCAGGTGAACGGAGCGATGAGTTCGGCGATGAAAATTGTACTGCAATATTACACTTAACAGGAAAGTGGATCAACGTTCCCTAGGTCTGCTACTATCTGCTATATATTTGCAAAAAGGCTATATATAAATGACAAAAACAACCTGGCAGTTACGTTGCTTCTATGTTCTAAATCTGTAAGACAGACATTCATATAATGCAACGCCTGTTTAACGAATGTTGAAAATACCATGCAAACAGAATTCATGGTTGAAAAACACTTTTAATAAAAATTATTTTCACTTTCTTCTTTTCTTTATTGAGAAACATTACAGTAATGTAAAACCCGTTTCACAGATTTTGAAAATACTACGCTACTCAGTATTTATAGTTGTAAAATATTTTTGATAAATATTCGTTTAACAATCTTTTACGATTTTTCTTTTCTTTTTTTTTTTTGAGAAGCATTACACATGTAAGTAGTTCCTTAGTCAATATAAACTAAACCTTTTTAACCTAACCTACAACAGAAGAATGTATACAAGGATATATACAATTTTTTAAACAGACACAAATATATCAATATTTAAGATATGCAATTAAAAGGAGGTATGAAGCTTAAGTTTGTAATGGTTTAATTCAGGTTTTAGTTAATTCATCAACAGTGTCCAAAATGCAAGCAAAAATATATACAGTAGATTTGAGTTGAAAAGTTTACTTTGAGCTGTTTTAAAATGAAAAAAAACAACACACCGTTCCCCTATTTTGAAAAAAACAAAAGACATCCTGAAGTACCCTCAAGCACCAGTGTTTATATTAAACTTTTTGAGATGCAATCTCTGCTAATACACACTTATAGTGATAGTGTGACTAAAAAATGAATACTTTTTAGCTCATCTGAGCCGGAGGCTCAAGTGAGCTTTTCTGATCTCATTTTGTCCGGCGTCCGTCTGTCTGTCTGTCTGTAAACTTTTTACTTTTTTAACTTCTCTCAAAAACCCAAGCAAATTTCAACCAAACTTGCCACACAAAAAAATTGGGTGAAGGGGGTTCAAATTTTACAAATTTTAGGCCCAACCCCTCTTCAAAGGGGAGATAATAAAGAATTAGTGAAAAACTAATGGCATCTTTTAAAATTTTCTCAAGAGCCACTGGACTAGGAAGGAATACTTTCTCAGGATACAAGTGGATTTAAGATTGTGCAAATCAAGACCCCCGTGGGTAGGGCGGAGGCATAATTTACGATCAAAGTTAAACAAAGTAATATACTTGTATAGGAAAAATCCTTCAAAATCCTCTTTTCAAGAACAACTTATTCACGGTAGCTCAGTCGGTAGAGCGCTCGCTCCGTGATCGGGAGGTCGTGAGTTCGTATCTCGACCGCGACTGACCTAGTCGTTAAAACAGGTAGCAACTGTTCCTTCGCCATGCGTTCGGCACTCTCAAGTGAAAGTTGCGGGTCCACCGAATGAGACCTTAAAAACCGAGGCCCCGTGTAGGCGGCAGGCGTTGGCACGATAAAGATCCCTCACTGCTCAATGGCCCTGAGTGCTGAGTAAAGGTCAAAATTTGAAGCCCTTCACCGGCATACGGTGACGTCTCCATATGAGTGAAAAATTCTCGAGAGGGACGTTAAACAATATATAATCAATCAAGAACAACTTGGCCGGAAAAGATTATTTCATATGGAAATATTTACATAGTCTAACATAGGAATATATAGAGCGAAAAATCTTTTAGAATCTTCTTCTCAAGAACCATTGGGCCAGGAAAGATGAAAATCATATGAAACATACTAAGGTATAGGGAAGATTCAATTTTATTCACATCATGACCCAGGGTGCTGGCGGGGCCACAAAGTACGATAAAAGTTTTACATTTGAATTAATACATCCGGATTTTTTTAAGCTTGTTTGTAAGAACCACAAAACTATGGTTGGCTATATCTTAATGGAAGAAGGATATGGAGATAACGAACAGAATCTGAAAGTCCATAAACAATACAAAATAGCAGCATCATCATGGAGTGTTGATTCAAGTTGCTCAAGTCATGACCAGGGGAGTAGGGGTGAGTAGGGAGGGGCACAATTGCGGATCAAAGTTTTACTTAGAAATATCAAAGAATTTTTTTTCTCATAAGAACAGAAAAGCCATGTTCAATCATATTAATATGGAGGCATACTGATTCAAATAAGCCCACCGGGGTAGAATTGGTCCCCAATTTGGGGGTGGGTGGTGATCAAATCAATAAATAGGAAAAAATCATCTGATCGAAAACATCAGAGCCATTTGTGATATTGATATGGAAGCATCGTCAGGTAGTTTGAAATTCAAGCCACCATCTCAACACTAAAGGGATTTCTGCTTTTTTCCATAGCCAATTTGCTCAGGGGAGCGATGTGACCCATGGGTCTCTTGTTCGGTTTTCCATTTATGTATGCTGTGTTTTTAATTATCCAGATTTTGACCCCCCCCCCCCCGGAAAAAAATGTTATTATTCAAAAGAAAAATATGCGTGTGAATTATATACTTCCTTCTTCCGCCAAGTTTTTACAGTAAAAATACATTTAATTGAATCTTTTTGTTTCTATTGAAAATTATATTCATTTGTATTAATATATCTTAATTTGTTATCGATGTCAAGGATAATAACTTTTGAATAAAACAGAAGATAATATACACAGCGATCGATTATATATATATACAAATGATGCGAATGTGTTATCAGGGGATAAACGCAGGCCCTCAGAAAAAAAAAACAGAGGTGGGAGCACGTGCTTAGAATGAATTAACATCTCCAATGGACTGCCATGAGTCCTCTATATACAGTCAAACTTGTTTTAAGAGGCCACCTTGGGGATGTCTGGAAACTGGCCACTTAAGACAGGTGGCCTCTTATTCCAGTTTGTCCTCAAAAAGGACATTCGGTCAATAAATAAACAACATTAAGCACTACAGTTAAATTAATTAATCATACGTAATTAAACAGGTCAATTTCACAAAAGCTTTTTATGAGTATATATAATAATGCAAGCTCATTTAAAAAGAATATTTAAGAATTCCAAATGTTTAGGTTTTGTGCATGTTTCTATTCCTACATAATATTTAAAAATCTTGCATTCATCATTGTGCTTTTGCTACATTAGAATATAAAATTCTTTTAATTTTCATTTGAAGAAATAAATACAGTGCCTGACTTTTATCCTTTTTTTTATAAAAAAGAAAAAAAACACAAAAATACAGTTTAATGGTAAATAAAAGAAAGCATAGAAATAAAGAATATGTCCACTTTCATGAGTTAAAAAATGGTCAGCAGTTTAACACCCCCCTTAATTAATCGGTAATTAACTTACTTGCTGATGTTTTTTTTAAAGTCTGATTCATCTTATTGTTGATAAAGCTTTATAAAAGAATTTCTATGTAACATACACAGACACACAAATACTCTGTAGAATTAAACCAGTTGACCAGTGAGATGTATTTACGCTGTTGAAAATCATTCCATAACACAGGTGTCAAGGTGTCAAGTGCAGTTTAATCCCTATTGATCATCTTTCACGAGATAATCATGGCATATGAAGCACTTTGTATTAGTTTTACTTTTCTAGTTAATAAATCTCTCTAAAAATGTCCAAGTCCACACTTTACTTCACTAACATAATTAACAACACATTTTATGCATTTCAGCGCACTATGAGATGATGCAAGGGTTTTATTGTTTTCACATAACATGAACAAAACAGTATAAAACATCTATGAATTTATACAAAATTGAAATAAACACAACTATTGAACTATGCTTCCCTCGCCGCCCAGGAAAAACCATAGATAAAAAGCAACACTGATTTATGTTGAAAATACAATGGAAACCTGTAAGTCCGCAGCAATATTGCGAGGTAAACAAAATGAATGGCGGACTCATTCTCACAAACCTAACATATGAAACTGCCATTTATTACGATTTACAGCTTACTCGGGTAGAGCGTGCGCTAGAGAATAAATACTGATATCTCGTTAACTCATTCGAACACGTTATTACTTAAAAAGCTGATTTCCATTAGCCGATTAAGAAAATCTTTTTGACTTTTATGTGTTTCAGTTCCTTTGAGTCTAGTAAACATTGCCTTGGGAGCATCACGGATACCAAATCCTTTAATTTCAACATCAATTCTGTCTTTTTCTGTCTTGAATGTAAGAGAACTTATATCAATCAGATCTTTGATTAACCCAGTTCCTTCCGCTTCAAATGTCTGATTATTCTGTTTCCATAGGTTCCATCTGCAGATGCCGTATTCTAAAGTCGGATTAGTGTGATAAGTTTTGATTTCTAGGTGTCCATATATTGAGTTGGAATACACTCCCATATACTCTTCGAAATTTTGAACTGAATCCTTTTTGTCTGCAGAAATAAAAGGACGGTCTTTTGGTTTTTGAATCTTAGAATATATGGAATCAGCATCCAAATACGGTGTCACTTCTAATGCAACGTCCGACAGGTAGTTGTGTAGAAATAAGCGCATACTAGTATTGTGATCGTTTCCATTCATAGCTGTGAAGATTCCAATTTTTTGTTTGGGGAAAAGGGTTATAAAAGAAGAATAACCGAATGTATTGCCATTATGTTGGAGAATGTCATGTCCTGTCAAATGAAAGAATAATTTTGTTTATTTGAAACAAAGTGAAAATGATTAAAATACAAATTCTTAAAACAATTGCTAAGTTTGAGTAATATCTTGAAAAAGAATAAAAGTTACATAAACATTCTATAAAAGGCTCATAAAATAGCTAAAGAAGACAACTTTGAATAAAGTTTGGAAATAATACGTAAGACTGTATGATTAACAATTGTTCAGGCTTGTACCTTGTGCATAAGGAGTCATGTTTCATATTTTCAACTTTGAGTTTCTATTACATGTAGCAGAACACATGCTCCTTGATTGAACTAGCATTTACCCTCCAGAAGAGACGATACATTTCAATTAAATTATGTAAGTATGCAAATACTTCGTTATTTGCACCATACTGCACTTTCATGTGATACTAAGTTTTCTAAACTACAATTAAGTGGCTTTACATACAAGGGTTGTTAGAGATGTTTGCAGATAAGTTCTATTTTGAGTGCGCTATTTGTAGAAAAGTGGTGATACCCCGAAAAAAAAACATTTTTAATTCATAAAAATATACAGATTTCTTTTATTTTACTATAAAATAAGCTGAGTGTGTGCACGATTACATTACATAGCCATTTCATGATTTTTCAGATAGCGTTACAATATCCATCAGATATCATTTAGTGAAGTTTTGAAGTAAATTAAAGGGGGTTTGAGTGTTTTATCGCTTGTTTTAGATGATCAATGCATATAATCAAAGTCAAAAATGGCAACGTTATTGAACCTCTTAAAGCACCAATTGAGTTGTTCAAAAATAATGTGTGCATGCAAAATAATGCCATAAAAAAGACAAACATGTTTTAGATGCTTTCTGTGCATTAATTACCAACAAGTATCTAATACCAAAATGTTCAAGTTGCACAAATTGTAGTTCTGTAAATCTGTAAGAATGGAAAGCTTCAAACCTTAGTTTATCAAATCTTGCGATTACCCGATGCCCGACTTATATCATATGGATTTCTGCAACCATTGTTTGTATTGTTCCCATACCTGATCGCTTAATTGCGTTATCGTTTATTTATATCCGAAACACTTTAAAATGGCTTTAAAAATAAATTTCCTTGATGCTATCCTAGCCTTTAAGTTTTAAAAAAAACATATAAGGTCATAATAACTGAAAGATAATTAGAACTGCGAGAAAGCTTAACAGGTCTGGAATACATTTGCCAGGTCACAGAATAATAAAGTGAATCCTATGTCCGCACGGTAAAACTTCTTTAATAATGGGCCTGACCGTTTTTTCTTATTAAAAAAAAGGACTTAACCAGACATACGTAACTCTTCGCGAATCAATGTTTTGCCAGCTTTCCTGACCACCCGTGTGTATACAATAACGTATTTCTGTATATGATATATGACACTTTAAATTCACTGGAACCAAGCTAGAGCTACACAGTTTCTTGTAGTTCTTAAAAATATATTGTCTTATCTGAAAGAAGGTCGACATCTAATCTGTGAAGAATTTTTATTTCTTTATAAATATTTATACTGTTTGTGCTCAGTATTCTTTTCGACCGTATTACAGTGGAGTAGAAAAAAATACATTGCTATAAAGCAAAGACATGAGCCCATCATACCTGATATTGGGATTGAAGAAAACGAGAGTCAAAAAGTATTTTCAAAGCGATTATATGCACATTGTACAGGTTAAACAATGATATAAATTGAAGAAAATATGTATATTAAAAAAAAATCGAAGTACATAATTTGCTTCTCAAATGATACTACTGTTGTGTAAACTTCTGTACTGCGCTTAAAAGAACTATATGCGGTATATTGCATATCTCTGCCCCCATAAAAGTCAAATTTTGAAAAATTCTTGAAATGTACTGAATTCTTGAAATTATTTGAGAAATATTAATTGATACAACATATCATAGTTTGAAAGTAGTTTATTGACTATTTGTGTTTATATGACGTCACAAACTAGTCCGTTTTTAAATCATTATTTTAAAGGGACAAAATGGACAAAATTTCGACAATTTTAGCTTTACAAGTTATAGAACTCAAGTTTGCTCATGAACAATATTTACATATTTCATTGAAATTATCATTCTACATATCATATCATATCAAAATATTGAGCCTTATCAGACATGCGCATGGACTTTTACTCGAAATATCGATGTAAAATATACATTTTTTTCTGTAGAAATCATAGAAATTTTTAATTTACGTCTTTTTTTGTGACGTCATTTTAAACATATGACGTCATTGCTTCCAAAAAAATGCTGTGTTTTGAAGTCAGCATATATTCCCCTGTCTAAGAACAGAATTAAATATTTCTCCGTCAAAGTTTGATTTGGTGGGCAAACATTGGTTATTACCGAAAAAAGTTCTTTAGGGAGTTTTTTACGTCTTTTTTCATTGTTCTTCTGAAGATAAATCTAGCGCATAATTTCAGTTCCTTTGATTAAAAGCAAGAAAATTTATTCTATGAAAGTTATTTAATTGTTATAAACCTCTCTAATAGTATGCCTTATACCTAATGTTATACATGTACCTCTGTATTTTCCTAGTTTCCAACCAAGACCATAGCCGTTTTCAAGTGTTGGTTCATCTTGATCTTTAGATATGTTGTTCACAACAGAACGGGGCAAATTGTTATGCTTTTTATGCAAATTAAGAAAAGACTCGTCTGACATGAATTTTTTGCCGTCTTTGTCCGTATTGCTGAGGTGGAAATTCATGTATTTTGCCATATCCTCTGCGTTGGACATTAATCCACCCGAGCCTGTCCAGCTGGTTTCCCATTGCCTTAGGAAGGAAAAAGGATGACAATTGCAAAAATACTAATATTTTTTTTATCAAATGTTTTAACTATAACTGGAAAAATTGCGTCATATGTTGATATTTCCTCGTTTGAATTCATTTAGGCAATTATGTCTTTTCTTTTATTTTTGTTATATATTTTATCCTATAGCATGGGATATCCATATCCCACACTTAAGTGCACATATAGCAGAGTCCTATATAAAACAGTGTTAAACATCGGTTGTGAAGTATTATACCCATGATGATTTTTACCTTTAAATGCACATATATAAATGATTATGTTATACTGAAGTTTATGGTGATATTTGAATGAACCACAATTTGTACAGAAGTTTTTTTCATTAGAATTTAAAACGAATTATCCATTCAACCAACCTACACATTTTTATTGAATATGAAAAGATAAAACTACTCGTTACGGTTAACTGCAGATTTCCTAAGATATGAGGTAAAAAATGAACAGTTATAAAAAGATCTACCTGGTTAATTCAAACGGAACAGGTACTAATGATGCATATGTTCTATAGGAATGGCCTTGTGCAGCATTTTTCTCCGTTTGCATTTTTGTTACAACCAAAGATGATGTCATATCAAGAGGTGCAAATATCTCTGATACCATCAGGTCTTCAAATGGTTGTCCATCAGCTAGTTTTTCGATCAAGTATGTGGCAAATCCGTACATCATGCTGGAATACTTAAAATCTTTTCTAAAATCCATATCCGGTTTCATGTGTTTAAACAGCCTAAAAACAAAACAAAAAATGAACTTTTATCATTTATATACATGTACATTGACTGTTTAAGAGAAATAAAATACGCTGCTATGTAACTTTCTCATAAATGAATAAATTCTATGGAATAGTAAGTATACAAGTATCAACAACTTATAAGTGTGTTTGAGGTCAATATCATTATCTAACAACCTGAGGAGGACAGTTTTCACTCAGCTAAAAAAAAACTAGGAATAATTAACATATTTTATTATACCTCTACTGATTTTTCAATTATTAAAGCAATATGAGCTGCATTTTGAAGAATTTTATTTTACCAATGAAAAGTGTTATTATGATAGATTTTGATGTAAAGTAAACATTTATGTTTAATTAGACAAAAATAATGTTTCAAATTGTTTCGGAAGATTTACAATCAATTATATAGCATTATTTATGAAATCAATATTGTACTTGACAACAATAATACAATTGGGCTTCGATCATTGCTTATAAAATGTTCTTCTATCGCAAATATGAACAACAGAAGATTAAAAATATTCTTTTTCTCTGTTCTTGAAATAGTTATTTATGGTTTTGCGGTAACAATTCCCGACATCAAAGTTAGAGCTCATATTGCTTTAAGAGTAAAGCAATATATTTTGCTGATTCCCTGAAAATCACCATAAAAGACTGTTGCTCTGCAGAATGGTGCATCAGTTTGATGGAACTATTAAAAACACAGAGCATTTTCTTTAAATCCGCGGAAAAGCACCGATGTGTTTCAAAAATCATGAACATTCATAACGCAGCTATATAAGGAGGCGAGACCTAACTTATACGGGAAAATAGTAACTTGGTATTGAGAGGTCATCCTTGTTTACTAACTTGCAATGAGAGCTATCAATGGACCCCTTTAACATTGTCACAGTGTAGATTGTTTATAGAATAATCAAAGTTTCTTGCAGATACATGTATCATTGTTTGTCAAATTGATTGAAATGCACAGATCTATTGAATTTGTTTTATCAATATTCTAAGTAATTAATAGATCTATTATTTCTATTTCCTCATATAATTGCACAGCGTTTAAAATAGAATTGCAGTTATTAGCTTTGATAAGGTATTTTTTGTCTCGGTATGATAAAACAGTTACAGTATATTATTGAGAAAGTCACCACGTTTCCAGTTCCCCATAGGTAAGTCTGTTTCCAAAGACGCAGACAAGAGAAACAGGCTGGGTCGAGGGGAATCGGAAACCTGCTTACTCCAAATATGATATACTTTATTTGCATAATATGATTCAATATGATAACACAAACTCTTAAAACAGTTTATGCTTCCTTACTTGCTTACTGCTGTCCTAGCAAAATACAACGAGAGGAGCCGAATTGATTTTACATTTCCAATCGTTTTAATTCATTCTTAAAAAGCTATCTACTTTAGTTTATGTAAAAATAAAGTAGGGTTTCTTATATTAGAAAGAAATTGAAGGGGACATTTTGGAAGAAATATTTGATGAGCACCAAAAAAAGAGAATTCTTTCAATTTCAAATTTTGTTTAACTTTTTAAATAACGTAGTGGTATTGACAATCATTTTTCTTAAAATATTGTACTGAATCTTAAAAAGTCTCTAATTTTCCTTACCTGGGTAAATCTGCTCTTTTTATTGAAGGATTAAGTCGTAAAAAATCGTGTTCCGAGCATCCTATCTTGTGTGCTAGAATATCAATCATATTTGCGTTCTTGGTTCTTTCGTCATCAAAGAAAACAAAATCAGGCCCCATCATGTCTTTTACTTTAGTTGAGATGTCCAATCTAGACAAAAATGCCAAAAGTATAGTCACCATTTCTGACTTCTTTACGCCATTTTTAAACATAACATCAGTCTTTCTTTGAGTCGGGTCAATTGTCATAAATTTTTCTTGCAATATTATTCTTTTGCTTTTGAAAATGCGCGTAGATATTTGCTGTTCTTCGATTCAACCTTGTCGTGTGATTTTACGCTAAAACTGATAATCTGATTAACATTCCTGCCATATGTTTTTACCACAACATGTAATAAATAGATTTGTCGACTTTACAGATGTTTATGTTGACTTGTCAGATATTTAAAAAAATACTGTCTAGTAGTAGGTTGAACTCGATATTTTGTTATTAAAGCATCTCAATGCCATTAGATTTAGCATATATTTGTCATCATAGTAAATGTATATGACAAGTAGAAATAATTTATTGACAAGACGGCTAGAATTTGTTGTGTCGACGTGTTGATAATGATGTCTTTTTAAAAAAATGTATTGACCTGTCAGGGAAAAAGAAACGTTGACTTACTTTGGCAAATGAATATATGGACTTAGCTGATACTCGTATTTATATTGCCTTCTCATAAAAAAGTGTCATTGGTTGATGGCTAAAACTGACCAAAGACTTATTACATGTCGATTTTTTGAAAACATAAATTAAGTGACTCAGTGACAAGCTAACAAAAAATTCTGACAAGTCGGTATTATTATCGAACAATACTCATAGTACTTACGGGGGATTTTTCTTTTCCATAAGCTTAAGAAGCAATGTTGCTGTGAAAGATTTTGAAATTGAACCAAGAAGAAACAGAGTGTTCTCAGTTACTGGTGTGTCTGAGTCTGCGGCTTGTTTTCCATAACCTTTTATGAAAATAATCTCGGAATTCTTCACAACAACAACTACCATACCAGGGATCCAGGGGACTCTGTCAAAAACCTTTAAATGAAAGCGTTTGATGAGTAAAAAAAAAGCATACACATAACAATTAAACGAAGTATTGGTTTTCATCACTGACCGAGTACATTCATTATTTTTGTCCTTTTCAATATACATTCTTATCGAGCTGCAATTACTGTAAAAAAACAAAATTACTTTGTGAAATTGATTTCAGAACAAAATCTTGTCTTGCATAGTTTAAATGTTTTTTGAGAGAATCGTACTATATTGAAGGCAGAATTCGAAGATAGGAATAAATTGCTACATGTAGTTTACGTTTTAAGGTCATATGCCAACCTTATAAAAGCATTAACCAATATTGAACAAAAGAATGCTTCGGAGCACAACATGATATATACGAGGACTATTCGTTGCGTAATGAGACTAAATGTAATCCGTTTAAATTTTACACTTGATTGAATTGAAACTTCTTTTGAATGTTTATTGTCTTCCATACTTTTGATTTGACTCGTAGTAAAAACCATAAAGCACATCTTGTTTGGACCCACCTTGAGGACACGATTACCATGAAGACAGACAGAGAGTCCCGAAAGGACATTTGAATATCAGATCATTTATCAAATATCCTTTTTATTCATGACTATTAAGGAATACGAAATTTTCAAAGACCCCGTGTCATGATAGGGAAACTTTTTTGTATCTATCAAAACGTTTTCGATGGATAAATCATTTCAAACCTGGTTATGATTAAGTTAAAATATCAAACAGCCAAGAAGGGCTCGATCATTTATCAACAAGTAAGCTGTTGCAGTACTAAGACACTATCGACAGAGACAGCATAGTGAGTGTGAACTAGATTGCCAAGAAGCTGGAAATTTCATCAGGTATAACTTTTAAGATTTTAAAACAACATAAAGGAGTCAGGAAATTATCTGTAAGTTGGAATCCTCACATATTAAATGGCAAGCAAAAAAGGTAGGCAATGCAAATTTCTCGAAAACTTTTGAAAATTTACGGTAAAAAAAAATATGATAAAAGAAATTATTATAGGGAATGAAACTTGGTTACATTTTCATAAAACTGAGAGATTTTTTTCTTTTATTCTAACGGAGTTGTTACACCAGCTATATCACCCCTTTATTCACCAGAATTATCTCCGTGGGACATTTACTTATTTCTTAAATTGAAAAAAATGCTATCTGGACGGCGACTCCATTCTCGTTCTGCATTTAGTTCAGCTGTGTATCAGTGTCTAAAGAGTATACCTCTTTTGGAGTATAGAGGTGTGTTCCAAAGCTGGATAAAATGACCTCAGAGATGTGCATAGTAAAGGATTGTTATTTTGAAGGTATGTATCTAAAAACGATAAGAATGATCTGTTATTTCTTATTTTATTGAAGAAGTGTCTCCATTTAATGAATAGCCTTCGTATTTTGAACATACGGAAACGGAAAGGTCTCAATACTTTTTGTGTTATTACTAGCAAATTCTCTTATGTTGTATTGTCTTATCAACTTATGGAACGTGAATACTCCGTTTGTAAACATATATTTTAATTTGCAGTTAGCTATAGGTTATTTTACATAATTTAAAATGCCTTCTTTTATTGAATTGATTTTATGACTGTAAGGTTTATAGACTTAAAAAATATATTGATTTTAGGATATCAAGCAAAGAGAGACTTAAACATATCAATAGAGGTTCATCAATATGAGAAAAAAAATTAAAAATATTTTTATCGTTATAAATATATGAATATTTACGAAAAAGAATGAAACAAATGGAGATAAATATATATTATTATAACAGTAACTTGATCCGAACAGCCAGATCACGTCGAGTTGACAGGCGCGGATCATCAGATCAAACGAGACGCGAAGCGTCGAGTTTGATCTGATGATCCGCGCCTGTCAACGAGACGTGATCTGGCTGTTCGGATCAAGTTACTGTTATAATGATAAATTTATTATATACCTTTTCATTTTTTAGCTTAAAAGAACAAAAAATAATCTTTGGAATAACTATGCAACATTTATTCATTAAACAATAACATTTTAAAGGAACTCTTTTTTATACGCGCATTAATTTTTCTTGCGGGAGTTATTTGAGTTCGAATTGTCATTCAGAATCATCACTTTCAATGCAACGGATGCGTTTCCGCTTTGGAGCTTCATGAGTGGAATAATTATTAATGTTAATGGAACAGTTCATCAATCTTGCATTTGTAAAGTATGCCCCCTCCGACGAAGTGTTACGAAAGGATGAATTGGTGGAATTGATAGAGAGGTTCGAATTTTCTCGATATGAACTTGGCGCAAGGCCTGAACATGCTGAAGGTGCATCTTTTTGGAAACGGTAAGAAGAAACTGATTTTTTATTCATTGATACCTGGTTTATGGTATTTTCATTGTTGGTTAAAATGTCACTCATATTTTTCTGCATTTCCATTGAAGCTACCGCATAGTTATTCACACTCTGGACATTTTTATGCCCAGTGAGTTGTTGAATCGTTGTTGGAGCAATCCCTGCATGAAGCAGGCGCAGAATGGTTTGTTTTCTTTCCAGGTAAATTTGCCTTGGTTGCCATGTCCTTCATGATGGAGCGAAGAGAATTTTCTCCAATTGGCTGGTTCTTGTACCAGAACTGAGAGTCTGGAGTCCTCTTGTGATTTATGGCAACATAGAAAGGACTGCTTGGTGTTTTAGTAGAAGGTGGTCTGTGGTCTCGGAATGTTTTGTAAGCTTCCACGGGACAGTTCAGGGGATCATCTGGATTAGCAAATTGTTTTGGCCTGAAAGCTCGAAGATAAGTAACTTCTCCTGTTCTAGTTTTAGTATCACGTTCATGAAATTCTAGGTATTCTTTCCCATTTTCATCCTTACATAATTCAATATCAGCCCATTGTAATTTATGGTTTTCCGTGCCACCACGAATACCAAATAACATAGTGTTTTGCAGCCATATTTTGTTTAATAAAGCCTTGGGGCTATGTAAGCCAATGCAGCCTTCTTCCTTTAATTTGTTTTCCTCGGAAACAGTTAATGGCTCGGCCGCGTTGGGTTTGCTACCCTTGCCTTTCTGTTTAAGCTCTTTTCTTTTTGACATTAGGACAGTTCTGCTAGTTTCAAATTCCTTGTCATTTACCAGACTGTAAGGGTATTTTTTTTCTTTCAGGTATCTGTCAATAGAGCGATGGTAGCTGGTCAATGTGTCTGGCTCATACTCTGACCCATCCGCCTTCCATATGGATAGCAGAAATGACCCAATGAAGTTGTCCAGTTCACTTGTCGGTATTCTGTTAATTTCACGGGTTTCATTTCTAGGGCTCAGCTGCAGCCATGTAGTGAATTGTTTTACAGCAGACTGTGTTTTCCTGACAGTGTTCTTGTTTTTCATGTTTTCAATAAAATTTGATTTTTTTTCATCAGATATCTCAATAAAAGTTGGAGCTTTTCTTTGTTCTTTGTTTTCCTTTGAATTTTCTACACTTACATTTTGCTTGATTTCTTCAGGCAGCATAGCAGAATTATCCTCATTAAGAATACTTGCCAAGTCTAAGTCAGAATTAATGGTGTTGTCAAGAAGTTCAAAATCAGATAAAAAGTCTAAATCGCCAAATTCTGGTAATTCTGTCATTTTGCAGGTTTTACTGTGTGCAGTCATAAGAATGTAAGGATGCAGACGAAATTCTTGTTTTAGTTAACAAGTAAAGTGCAGCTTAATTATAAAATAATCTTGTAAATTTGGATCTTTTGCTTTTGTTTTTAATCAATTTATTATACATATATCAATTGCGTAAATATCTTGAAACGAACGAATATGGATTTGTTTACTATTAGTTTAATTACTTCCGGCATTGTTACTATGGAAAAAAGTAGTACGCGCAAGAAAAAAATGTGTGTACTGCGTACTACGTCATCAGTTTCAGAGAGTGGTGATATGGATTCAGAAAACAACATGTTGGTGATCCGGAAAGTCGGATCACGACGTCACGTGATAGCGTAAATTCAAAAGTAAAATTTAGTGATACACTTTAGGTATATAATAATAAACAGTTTTCAAGATCAAAACAATGCCAATCTGGAGGAGACAAAATACGGATCTTAGGTGCCATGGAGGAGTGAGCATCCTCTGAGAACTGGTCATGATCGAGAAATAACGAAAAAACCCAACGTCATTCATTGCGTTAAAAATGGACTAACAATTAGTATGAAAAACGTCAGTCAGCATTTGACTCAATGATAAATTGCTAAAAAGATTATTGTATCAACCATAGAACTTACGAAATGATGACTTTAAACGAGACTACTGATTTTCTTGTTCCATCAACTTGTTTGTCAATAATTTACCTAGTAAATACTGTTTATTTTAATTGATTTACGTCGCAGCTGTGGGAAATCTATTGAATCTTCGTTTCACTTGGAATGTGGTATAAGCTCGTGGAAGTACATATATGTACATGTACTATATATTAGATCACAAGCATTGACATTGGGGAGGGGGGTATTGTACCTTAGTTACAACGCATTATGTACGAAACCAGTCAGCATATAGGAATTGGGGTTTTTGAAAATTACGATTCCATACACTTTTGAAAATTATATGCATTTATGACCAGCAACAATAACGTACTCTCTTTTTTCCATTCTCTTACTTTTCTGGTACTCTCTCTAATTATAGAATGGATTGCTTCTGTATGTGCATGAAATTAAAAAAATCATAAACCATGTATCACACCGCCGAAACACTTAGGGTATATTCTATTAAGCGAGAGGGGTTACAAAAGTTACTAGAGTTATAAATAAAACAAGACATTTTCGACAAGGGCGACCAACCCGTGTTATGCGAGTATACTGCTCAGTTTTCCTGGGGTAACAGGGAGGAAATGGCGGCAAGGGAACATGCTGGTTTGCTGTTAACAAAAAATACACTCTGTACACTTAAAAAAATATTATTACTATATAAACACTACCTTGTCAGCATTTCACAGAAATCGTAATAATTTTTGTATCATTTCATTAAAAGTAAGTCAAACTCCAAAGGGTCAAGGTCAATAAGTGAATTATTGGATCACTAGTCCTTAGCGTTCAAAAGTCATTCCAAAGGTGAACGTTTTTTCATTAGTACAAAATTGTCCAAGGTCAAGGTCAAAAGGTCAAAGTAATTGGTATTCAATGAAAGGTCTTTACACAAAAAAATACATATGTAAAGTATGGAAGCCCTAGCCCTAACCATTAAGAAATTCTGGCCAAAGGTATTTTTTGAAGTAGGCCAAACTCCAAAGTCAAGGTATTAGGGTCAAAGGTCGCACTATCAAGTGCTAGTCGTCTCCTGAGGAATAAATATGTTATTTATGAAAGCATTAGCCTTAATTCTTTTAAAGTTATTGTGAAGCATTGCTTTTCTAAAAAGAAGCTGAAACTCTAAGGTCAAGGTCAAAGAGTCAAAGTTCTTGGTTTTCAATGAAGGGTCTTTTCACAAGGATAACATATTTGAAAAAAGCCCCATCTTTTACCGTGAAAAAGTTAGAGTCAGGGTTAAAGTTTTTTTTACAAGAACGAAAATCTCCAAGATCCATGTCAAAAGGTCAAGGTTGTTTGTAATAAATAAAAGGTATTTCAACAACGACATATGTGAAGTATAAATGACCTTGTAAATGTATCTACTGTTCAAAAGATATGGCCAAAGTAAACGTTTGGAACTTTTGGGTAAAAGTGGCTCAAACTCCAAGGTAAAAGTCAAGATGCCAAACTTGGTGGTACCCAAAGAAAGGTCTTCACAAAAGGAATTTTACATGTGAAATGTGAAAGTCATAGCTCCACTAAATCAAAAGTTTTAGGCAAGGTAAAAGTTTTTGTTGACACTTAGACAGATACACATGTAGATAGAGAGACAGACAGACTGATGGACAGGACAGGAAAAAAAATATTTACGAGGGCATAAAAATCCTATATCGCTGGAGGGGAGTTAGGTGTAGGTTCCACCTCTTTCAGTGTCAAATTTTATTCATACAAAACTACTCAAAATCAACCTTTCTTGAATTTACTGCAACAAAAATTGGGGGTTGGGCATGGTTGGCTAACGACCTTTCAATGACGATTTTCATTAGTAAAAAGGTTATGTTTCCAATGAAGTAGGGAACACCTCCCCAGTAGCTAAATGTCTGTATTATATCCCTTGTAACCTTTTGCAGGGGGTATAATCATCATATATTGGTCAGAAAAATACAACAACTGAAATTTCCATTCATCCAGTGTTATTCACAGAATATTAGAGACATTAACTTGTATAATTTGTTAAAGATT